CAGATATGACGGAGCAGGAGAAGGCAAGCAGGACAGAAACGAGTGAAGCTAAAGGTCACCTTTTCTTAAACGCACACAAAACCCAGGCAGAGGTGAGTTCTGGTGATGTGACGATGAAGGACCGTCTGCAGCCCGTCTTCACTCGTCCTCGCCCTAAACATGGCCGTCTCCATCCTGCCGAGCAGCACAAAGCAGCGTCCGCCTCTTCATCTCTGTCCCCGTCCCAAACCTTGAACGGCGGCGTCCTTGTTTTTCTAAATGTTTTTTTTTTTATTCTGCTCATGCTCGCATTATGATCCAATATTTAGAAGTGACACATAAAGGGATTAGAGGGAGGAGAGGAAAACGTCTTGATGAAACAGATTAAAATCAATTGCTGCAACAACAAATGTTTCATTGGATTAAAAATCCATTTTTGTCGTTAGAGGTTGAATGTTTGGAATATAACGACAGACAATGGGAACTTTAATTACAAACCTGACAATGACAACAGAACAAAAGGCTTTTGGTGTGATAGAACAAGTGCTTGATCTTTGGCTAATTTTTTCTGAATTTGTCTTCTCTAGTTTTTGTGAAAGTTTCAGGTTAATGTGCAGAAAGGGAGAATATCAACAAAAGCGGGTGATTTGACTGGTTAGCGTTGACTGAAACCTGTAGTTAATCCCCAGCAAAAATTTAAAACTCAACAAACTAATTTCTTTGCAGCATTAAATGTTTGTTATCTGTGTCCATTGACCATTTAATCAAACAAATTGGAATTCCGAAAATAAATTTGCTTAATGGAAACACAGCAATTTCAGAAAAAATTGCGCTAAGATGAGGAGGTTTTTCGGTTGTATCAAAATTAGTGTATTTCACAAAACCTGCAATGGAAACACTTTGTTTTTTGGCATCACACGAATCACATGATCAACATCCAGATGATACTACTGATGAAAACCATGAAGAAGACGACAGGAAGTGGTAGGATCATGTCTTTCAATGACTTATCGTGTGAACAAACTAATTCACATGTGAATTAATTTTTTTTCCCTTAATTAATGGGAACAGCCAATTTGAAAATTCTGTTTTTCCGACATTAGAGGAATATCGACAAAGTTTTTTGAACGTTTTTAATGGAAATGCAGCTTTTGGTTTGATTTCCTGCATAGTTCAGAACATCTTTGCTCCACAGATTTTCTGTTGGCCTTGGGGTTTAGGAGCAGCCCGGTTTAGTCCACTTTAATCTCCAACCTAGAAAGTCCGGTTCGTTTGGTGAGCTGCGAATACGCAATCTGGGTTTGGCTGAAGTGAACTCTGGTTCGGTTTGAATACATGTGTGAACGCCAATTGGACTGGAGAACGCTCCAAAAGCAGGAAATGGACTACAGCGAAGGGCATTCTGGGTAGATACAACCAAAACAAACGTGCTAGCCTAGCACAAGCAGGAGAAATGACTTGTGGTCTTTTGCCATCAAAAGAGAAATCCTCCAACAGCTAAAATCTGACGCCTCCCTTTTGTTTCCATTTGGTGAAGAAGGAAGTCACTCTCAGCGTCTTCAGAGGTTTTTGTTGTTTCCTTCAGTGGTTCTTGGTGCAGCGCCCTCACAGATGAGGAGGGGAACAGGTTCCTCAAAGGGTTTGGATAGTTTGACTCCGAGGAGAGAGAACCTTTGGTTCCAATAGAACCGGGTCAACTGGACTATCAGGAGAGAAAACTGGCAGACTCACCTCATGATCTTTAACGCTCTTCTTTTTAGTCGTCTTTTGCTGCCTTGGAGATATTTCATCACAATTTTTTTTTATTATAAATTCTGGTTGACAGGAAAAGTTTCTCCAGGACTTAATGGCTCATGGATTGTCTTCTGACCCCATCAATGCCAACTGAAATGAATCCCACAGCATAATGCAGCCACTTTATGCCTCATATTCTTCAGGAAAGACTCGGCAATTTTTGTTGCAAGTTTCAGAACATTTATGTGCCGGTGATTGTATTTACAGCCATCTACAGGAAATGTGTTTATAAATGCATCTAAATCCAGGGAGGAAACACTGCTGTATTTCACTTAGTAGCAAAATCAATTTTAAATGGATTCCCAGGCACTTTTCTAGCAGCAGCTTGTCACAAAGACACACTATGTTCTCATTTCTTTACTTAAACAAAATTCTTCCCCGCATCAACAGCGGGATTCCCAGAAGAACTGTAGGTCTGTAGATGGATTTACTCAGAGAACAACATTCAGATGGCAGCTGAACTTGTAAAATTAGTTTTTTTTGTGATCACGTCTTCATCCTTCATCGCAACATTTTGCATGTTTTCCCCACATTTTTTAAAGTCGTGCTGCAGACAGAGGTTCAAAAGTTTAATGTGAAAAACTGTCATCAATCATTGAGCTAAATGAAGTTTTTAATGATGAAGTCATTAATTCAGATGCATGTTGATGCTTCTCTGGATGTTTTATGAAGCATTTTACATTTTTTTGCTTTCCTCCTCTAACAGGATGGTTGTCTGTGTGTGAATCTGGTGGTTAAGTGAAGCGGCTTAGCAGAATGCAACAGAACATAAAGCGATCTTTCTCGGTCAAACATTTTGATTCCATGTTGTGCGCGGATGAACGATGACCCACAGACCCTCCCCTGCGATGCTCTCTCTCTCTGCCTGATTAACTTTAATGAAGGCTGCTAAATACATCTCGTTTCTCTCAGATTTGACCTTGGATTTCATTAATTTCATTAAACTTTTGCACCAGGAAGGAAAAGACCGACTTGAAATAAAAACTGACTTTCTGTTGATTTGTTTTTTTTTTTTGGTTTTTTTGGTTTTTTATTTTCCCCAGTAAAGTGAGTAAAATTGGGCAGATTTGCTGTGCAGATGCAGAACGTTTTAATTGACCCTTAGCTAAAATTGCAGATGTGGGGAGCTTCACACTGTTGCATCAACCTCCTTCTGTTCATTATTTGTGAAATTCTTGTGCAGACATGCCCCAGCGGTCTCGCCGTCTCCTCACATCTGCTGAAAGGTGCTTTTTGTTAGAAGCATTTAATGATTCAAACTTTCAGTGGAAGCAGGTCGGGATGTGAGCGGGTCAGGGTGCAGAGAGCCCGCAGTTGCTGTCAGAGCGGCGGGAGACGGTCGGCTTTCATCGCAGCCGCATGTCGTCTTCCTGCATTACGGCTGATGGAGCGGCTCAGGTAGGCGGCCAAACCGGGTCAGCTGGGATGAAAGGGACCGCACGACTTCTGAGTCTGTGAAGGACGGCCAAGGACGACGTTTCTGTTCAGGGAAACCGCGTCTGCTTGAACAGAATCATAGCAGAAATACAAATATTTTTTTATTTTGCTGCAGCAGGGAAATTCAGGTTGGAGGTAAACGGAAGCGATCGTAGAGTTTGGTTGTAATTCCAGTAATCAGAAAATTAGTGAAGTAAGGTCTTTTTTTTTTTTTTCTTTTTTTTTGAAGAGGAGCATTTTTACTACGCTGCACTTTTTATTTTTACTTGAGTAATTTTGTATCTCTACTCTTACTTGAGTAAAATGTTTGGATTTTCTGCCCGCTGAATGAAAAACAAAACATGTTTTAACCAAAAATTCACCTGAAACACACACCTGCAGTTTCTGTTAACATTTCATAAGCCGTGTCCTTTGTTTGTTTTATTTTAATTATGGTAATTATATGAATTATTTTCATTTTGGTCTTTGAAATACCAATTCTTCCATGTGATGTTGTTTTGTTCCGTCTGATGATGTAATTATTAAATTATTAAATAAATAACTAAGGTTTGGTTCAGTTACTCAGTACTTTATCATTTTTATACTTGAGTAATTTCTTGGATGGCTACTTTTTACTTTTGAGTAAAAATATGTGGAAGTAGTGCTATTCTTACTTGAGCACTATTTTTGGGTTCTCTACTCACTTCTGATCTTATCCAAGCAATGGTAAAAAATATATATATATATATATATAAATGCAGAAAACTAAGAATAAAAGAGCAGAGAATACAGCATAAGAAATACTGAGTCGGGTAATTTAAATATTATTAATATAATTTACATTAATGAAGCCAACAGCTGAACATGTGCTGAATATTTATGTAACTAAATGAGTCAGAGGAGAGCGGATCGATCCAAAAGATCCATAATATCAATACCAAGTCGGTATCAGAGTCATGGAAAGATCAATGCTTTGTTTCAGATTCACTTTTGAAATTTGATTTTATTTTCATATTGTAGTTTCTCAAAAAAAATGACTTGCTGTCAAATGTAATTTTTGCTCTTTATTCAGGAAAATGCACAGGAACTTGTTCTGTTTTTCTATTGTTGCTGTTTGTCGTTTAAATATGATATTAAAAATATTCTACACCTATAAACTGTTTAAACAAAATAAATCAAAGGAAAGAAAATGACCAAAAGGTCAGAAGTTTGAATATAAATCAGATTTTTTATTTTTTTTACTAACGGATTGGTTCCAAAATATTCAGACGATTCCCAACCTGTGTGTCTTTGTGGTGCATTCAAGTACATCTGGTAGCCTGGATTGTCTAAATTATCCAAACAACTCCAAGGTGGTTTAATAAATCTTTATTTTAAATGTCGGGACAGTTTTATTAAAGTGGTTTTATTGTTATATACTGTATTCATCCATCTGTCCAGTCAGTGGTTATCCCTGTTCATCTTTAATTAATTAAAAAATAAAATCTCCCAAATTTGTATCTACCACTTTTTATTCGTTTCTGTTCATTGGCCAAATTATTAAACAAAATTTGATTTTTGTTTAGAAACTGACTAGAACTGGCATATTGTATATTTTAGTTTCTTTCTCAATACATTTAATAGCAATAATTACAGAATGCTGCGTTATTTCATATTCCTTGATTAACTTTTGAATTTCTTTAATAATCCTGTCTGTCTTCCTGCATTTGCGTTGCTTTTTGTGGTGCTGTCAGATCAAATCGTCACACTGGAGTTTATAAACCTCGATCTCTGCCACATATTCAATTTTTTATTTATTTTTTGTCTTTCAGCTCTGAAAGACGCGCGCTTTCAGCTGGTGAACTTCTCAGACAACGAGCTGCGGGTGTCGCTGTCTAACGTCTCGCTGTCAGACGAGGGTCGATATGTTTGCCAGCTCTACACAGACCCCCCGCAAGAAGCCTACGCCGACATCACAGTGCTAAGTACAACATCAAAGCACACACACACACACAGCAAAAACACACGCTTTCAGCACACAAATGCACCGCCGCTCAGAGTTACGGGTCGGCGGGAGGTAAAGCCTCTAATCACGCTTCGACATACAGTACATTCACATGGAAAACAGAAAACAACGTGACTGCATGCACTGCCTTTATTGTTTGGTGTTTAAATTATTAAAAGGAGCAATAACGAGGTCGCACGCTGGAGTAAAAGTGATGGTTTCTCCACGTTATGCCCCCTTTATATACAACCCATCTTAAATAATAGATATTAAAGCCAATAAGGGGAATCTGATCTTTGATATGATTAAATCTGTTGTTCATGAAGGAACTTGAGTTTTCCTGGTATTTTGTGAAGCAGTGAGTCAGGTCGTTTTTCACGGTTCCTCCATTCTCACCTTAAGTACCGTGGAAATGTTTTAAACCAGAACTTCCCTTAATCTGACTCTGACCTAAAATCAGCTGAGCGCTAGGTCCAGATTAGCTTAGCTTCGGGTTCAGATCAGCGTTTTAAACTAATGGCTCATTCCCAGTTAGCTTATCTCTGCTATAATATGATTTATTTCTTCAAACTGTTTAAATTCTGAACTTTCTTAGATTCTGTAAAATAAATATAATAAATTATGTTTTTGCAACCAGTTCTCAGTAGCAGAGTGTAAAAATCTCATTTAAAATGGGTTAAGTTGGCTGGTTTTTTTCTAGATAACGTCTCTTCATCCCTACAGTTTTATAGGGTAAAATTTTAAATTTTACACAGAAATGATGGATGGATGGATGGATGGATGGATGGATGGATGGATGGATGGATGGATGGATGGATGGATGGATGGATGGATGGAATAAAGAAAAAAAGTATGATTTAAGACTTTTGCACAATAGAAGCCCTCCCAGCAGAAGCTTCTGTTTGTAATGAATGCCAGAGAAAACTAACTGCCACTTTCACCCAGCATGTTACTCTGCAGTCATAAAGAGATGATCTCATTCAGATCCTTTTAGCTAACGACCCGAATTCATCCATCAGTGGAAACGATGAATAATGACTCCAGAAAAAAAAAAAAAAACAGAAAAATGAGCCAAAATGAACACAACTTTTAATTTAATATCTGAAAAAGTGATGGCAACATGTACTTCTTATACTCCTTATTTAAATGCCTAATTGATTAACATGAAATCCATTTATTTCTGTCGCTGTTTAATCTGCAGATGATTCCCTCCTGAACTGAACCAGTCAGCTTTTGGATAATGATAGTTTGACCCTCAGAAAGTCTTTTGTGTTCAGGCTGAGAGTCTTTGACTGGGACCGTTCAGATTTCACACACAAACCTCAGAGTGACCCCTGAGCGTGTACTCTGATGATCAGACCTGTTTTCCTCTTTGTGGCGTTCTGAGTTACTCTAAAGGTCAGCTGTCATCAGGAGTTTCTGCCGACACGCTTGTTAAAGAGTGGCACTGCTCTGCCTAACCTCTGCTTCAACTTTTAAAATCTGGAGTTCCAGCTCCTTTAGCTAACAAGCTATTGTTAGCATGTTAACTAACAGGAGAATCTTAAAATGTAAGATTCTCTCCAAATCATGATTTTCTCCAAATCATGGAGAAAACATAGGATGTGTGGGATTAGATCTGGAGTATTAACTCCACTAGTTAACATGCTCATGTTAGCATTTTAGCTAGCAGAAGAATTTTAAGCATACTATCTGGAGGATCTGTGGGATTAGATCTGGATTATTAACTCCACTAGCTAACATGCTAATGTTAACATTCTCTGTAAGGTAAGGTAATTTTATTTATATAGCACACTTTCAGCAACAAGGCAATTCAAAGTGCTTTGAATGAATTAGAGGAAATACAAACAAAACAACAATACCATAAGGGAAGATAAACATATTATGTATCCCATGATTACTCCAAATGGTGGAGGAATCATGGCATCTCTGGGATAAGACCTGGTGTTTTAACTCCACTAGCTAACATGCTTTAGCTAACAGGAGAATTTAAAGCATACCACATGTCCCATGATTCCTCCAAATTCAGCTATTATGTGAGTTTGTGGAAGCAACTTCTGTTTCCTCAGTGTTTACTTTGTTTGTCCCGTCCCAGTTCCTCCAGGTAACCCTGTCATCGAGGCCAAGGATGAGGTGCTGAGCGAGGGAAACGAGACAGAGATGACCTGCACCGCCATGAGCAGCAAGCCTGCAGCCACCATCAAATGGATGAAGGGAGATAAGGAGCTGAAAGGTGGGGGGTGAAAAGACACCATCACTGCTTCAGGCTAATATCATATGTATCTGGATACAATCTCAATCAGCCAGTAGATACAGTTTTATTGGGTGAATGCTGCAGGGATTGACACTGAGTCCCTGTTGTTTTTTTACAACATTGTCTACATTATAAGCATACTTATAATACTTATATGTATTATAGATGTAGGTTATTTTCTGTTAACTTGCTATTGTTAGCCAATGTCTATAGGTTACATTTTAGCTTATATACTTAATGAACTAAATTAATGTTGGTATTCATGCTAGGGATATTTTTCATGCTACTGTTAGCATTTAGCTATTTTATTTGTGGCCAATTTAGATGATAAACTATTATCGTCCTTCTAGGGAATTGTAATGTTCATTAATATGGTAGTGATAGCACCTGTGCTAACTTTAGCATTTTTAGCTAACATCAGCATTTTAGCTAAATTTAGCTTATACACTGCTGCTAGCATACGACATGAAGTTAGTTAGTCAACATGCTAATGTTAGCCCAGATGTTATGGGTGGTATTTCATCTCATGTTAGCTTTTTAGGATATTTCAGAAGTTTCACTGTTGTTCTCAAACTTGATGTAAGAAGTTAATGTTACATGCAACCTTTAGCACTTTAGCTAACATTAGCATTTTGCCAGATGTTAGCTTTAAACTCTATTCTTTTAATACTAGATGAACAAACATGTCAGCAAGATGTTGACATTTTGGAAACTGAACCTCGCACACAACTGTTAGCATACACCATGGAGTTAATATTCATACTATACTATACTATACTATACTATACTATACTATACTATACTATACTATTAGCATTTTAGCTAACATTAGGATTTTAATTATCTGTGGTTTATACACTGTCAGCATGATAGGAGAAAATGAATGTTAGACTACATGTCCTAGAGTTTTAGTTAACAGAAGAATTTTAGCAAATTGTAGCATGCAAGCAAATGTCTCCATACTAGATGGATTAAATGAATGCTAGCCAACATTTTAGCTATGAACAGAATAGCCAATTTTAGATTGTCATTTTTTTCTATTCTAGATGCAGTAATTTAATCCCAGTCAACACTCATGATAAAATTAACATTTTAGCTAACATTAGCATTTTTACTAATTTAATTCAAGCTTTATTGCTACAGTTGATTGTACTACTGAAATACAATACAGACAGATTTAGCGCGCCACAAAATGCTAATAAAATAGTATTGATATAAAATAAAGTTTTTGTTTTTTTTAATCAAAAAGCATTATGATATAATTGTACACTGAGATTCAAATGGAACTGTAAAAATCTCATGTTTTAATAGTTTGAACGTGTCGGCCATTTTGCTGGTTGACCATAAATGTGTAAATAAAAATAATATATCAGGGGTTTTGAGTATCTACATAAACAGCTTGCCGTAGTTTTTCCGGCAGCCTGTAGGAGCCTCTTTTGAGTCGCTCTTTGTTTGGCACCTTGCTATTGCGTAGAGTGACCGTACCTGGAGTTTTGCTACAAAACGCATCGCTCTCACGATCTTTGGTGCACACAAGCCTCTCCACCACGGCAAGGTGGCGACTCTCCAGAGAGGAACCATTCACACCAACACACTCACACACTCGCTCAATTTACTGGAAAGACATCTTTGGTCTAGGTGGGTGAACCCCGGGTACCCGGGAAAACCCACACCAGCATGCTGCAATGCTAGCAATGCTACCTAGTTTTTGAAAATTTGGGGTCTTTCACAGTCTCTCTCACTCCATCACATACAAACCCATCCACACACACAAACACACAAAAAAATATACATTTAAAAAAATATTTCTATCTAATCTAGTGAATATTAATTAAAAAAAATATCCCAGCCCCGGATGCAGCCTGTAATGTTGGTTCCTTTCTAGCTCAAACAGGCGCAGAAACCGCTCCTTTTCCCCTGCTTGACTTCCTTCTCGATCTTAACGGCCTTGTCGCTGATCTCTTTTATCTTTGTGTGGAGCTGATTGTTCAGCGCCGCCTGGTCCTGCAGCTCCTTCCTTAGGTGCTCCAGCTCGGTTTTATACCTGCTTTCACTGTCGCTGCATTTTTGTTTGAGGGCCGTGATCTCCTGCTGGAAGTCGTTCTTCTCGGCTCTCAGTTGGTTTATGACCTCTCTGTCGTCGTTGAGGTTGTCCTCCAACGTTCGCAGCTGTTCTCGCATGATAAGAACGTCGGTTTCGAACCTGGAGCTGATTTCCTGGTGGGAGATTTTGACCACCTCCAGCTCTCTGTGCAGAAACGACTCGATCTCTTCACACGTTCCTATTGCAGAGGGAAACAGAGACTCGTCGCCGTGTGTCAGCTGTCCAAGATCTTCTCCCAGAGTAAGAGAGTCACAGCCGTCGTCCTCGTCAAACTCGTCCAGGGAACTGGTTGTGTCGTCCACCGTTTGTTCCAGCATCATCTGCATGTTCAGAGAGATTGAGTTGTTCAGGCCCTGAGACTCCTCCATGGCCATCTTGGAGTCTTTGTCTGTGCTCAGGTTCAGGTCCTCCCCCAGCGTGTCCAGCTCCAGTTTCAGCATGAAGACGTCCGGCTGGTACTGGATCACCTCGTTGCTTGAAAGTTTGAATTCCAGCAGCTCTGGTTGGAGATAGTTTGCCATTTTTTTCCTCGAAAACGGTGAGATCTCAAACGTGGAAAAGAACAGTAGCGACAGTCGCTGTTGGTTTTTGCGCTCTCGGTGGTTCACAAACCGCAATGAAACTTCAAAGGAACTGGTGTGACATCATCATGTGATGTCACAGTGCTGCTCACATCATGATGTTCCACTGTGGTCTTAGTTTTGTTCAAAATCAGCTGTTATTTAGTGAGGCCCTTTATTTTTGACAATAGTTACATTACAGTAAGAAATGTATCTAATAAAATAGACAGTAATAAATAAAACATCAGAAATACTTTAATAATCTGAAAGGGAAATTATGCCTGTCACAATAAAAAAAGTTTTCTGCACGATAAATTGTCCCAGTAATTATTGCGATAAATGATGATATTGTTGTTTTGATAACATTTTCAGGTAATATGTTGATGATGACATCATAATGCAAATTTGACCGCTTTAATTTTTAATGAACACTTCACACTGGAACTGGAAGATATTTTAAATATCCAACATAAAATACAACCAACCAAAAACAACAAATAAAATGAATTATGAATTCTCTGTAAACAGAGTTACCCTTCCAAAAATATTAATCTGCAAAATGAAAATGATTGAGTTCATTGTAATTTACTGTGTGATTAATTGATTCATTGCAACAACTTTGTGCCAAGAGTTGATGGAAATGCTGAGTGTCCAAGGAATAAACTATGTGAATTATAATCTGTTAGTTAAATCAAGCATAATATGCTTTTATACTTTAAATGTCTAAATATGTGTTTTAAGTTTTAGTTCATTTGAATATTAGACAATGTAGCAAAGGAAGGACTTTAGTGATGAACTTTCAGGTTGAATAAAACATTTTACTGTTACAACCATAAATGTTTGCAACTTAAAATATTGGCTACATCTAAAATAAACAGCATATGATAAAACAAAAGCACGATTTTAGTCAGTCTTTAAAACATACTCATTTTTAAAATAAGACTCATAATATTAACTCCCTAACAACTTCTCTTTCGTCTTACGCTCTTGTTGAGCTGCCGTTCATTAACACACAGACTGGAAATTGAATTTTCAAAATAAAAGTATCAAACACTAAAACTAAAAGTTAATCTTTGATAAAACTAAGTAAAGGCGATAAGCACCAAAGAGAGATAACAAAACAAGCAAAAAAGTTCATTTGGGTTTATGTGACAACTGTTGTAATTTTATTTTTATGTAGTTTACAGTTTAACCAGCTCGTCCTCGTAATGCGCCAGGCAATAAATAACGATGCCAGGAACAGATTCAGCACTTTTTCTGCCAGCGCTTCTTCATTTTCCTTCGCAGCCATTAGAACATTCCGTTAGTGTTTCCTGTTTGCGTTTCCATGAAAGCCTCAGCGACGTGTAGAGGTGTCCGCGGCTCGCCGCCCGGCGCCCTCACAGCCTGCATGCCATCATCAAAGGCAGCGGCGCTTCAGAAGAGCGGGTCGAGCTGAGGGAGGAACAGGCCCCCTGCTGGGTGGCTCCACCTCAGCAGCCGGCCTCCGGCTCTGCAGAGACTTTCAAACAAACATCCAATCAGGAGCTGAGCTGCAGGCGTCACAATGCGGCACATTAACCCCGACACGGCACCGATCCATGCCGCACCATCTGGTTCAGCTCAGACTTGGTGCACTCAGGGGCGTGTCTAGGTTTTTAGTGTCCAGGTTGGTCCTTAGGGGGGCCACTGCAGTCTGAAATTACAACAGACAGTGTCAACTGTTTATTTAATTAAACAAACAAACACATGTTTGAGGCAGAATTTATGCTAAATGAAAGTGATAATTATTGAATAGTGAGTAAAAAAAATGATGATCTCATGTATTTACATGTAAGTCTTAATTAATATGTAATGTCTCATTTTTAAAAAATAAAGTTGAATCAGCAAAACATGTTATTAAACAACAAAAGGAGCATTTCATATCTGCTGATATGCAGGGCAGACAAAAGTTTTTACAATACAAAGTGACAAACATTTTCCCGTAAGTGAAACAATCTGCCGCGTTTTCATCAATATTAAAGGATTATTGACTTTAAGCGCAGTCCTATTTTATGATTTGTCTTATTTCAAGTGCGCTAAGATATTTGGACAAGAAACTAGACCAATAATACTTGGTAAGATTTTGTGGTTTTGCAGTGTATCGAAAATGATTTTATGTCCTAAATTATGTAGATTTAACAAGAAAGCGAAATAAACACGTAAGCGGGTAAATACTTTCCGTCTTTGTTTTAAAAGGCTCTTCCTAAATGACGCTGTCGGACAGTTCAGCTAAAATTCAAACCCAAAATATCTGAGGCATTTTCCATCACACCTCTGCTTTCATCTCCATTTCAAAACTGTTTGAAAAAGGCCGTTTTAT